TATTCAATACGATTTTACGTGCCAAATATACTTTTCTATATGTAACCACCACTCTAAATCTTTTTTTAATATCTATAATGATCTTCAGAGTATATTATTCATTTACAAGAATTTATTCTTTAATTTCTTCTCTCAATTTCCTCTAAGCATATTTCATTGGTTCTCAGTGATGAAATTTATAATTCGACATGTATTACTGCCATGAGCAACTATAATTTATCTATAATGCTCAACCTTACATCATGGTTTAATCTTGTAAATTCTACAAATAATGATGTTAATTTTAAAATTGCTCCTTATAACATATTCATACTAAATATTTTTAAACTCTGAAATATCCTTAAACACCTACAAAACAAGGAATTATGTGTCAAATATCATAAATAAATCATTATAACATTATAATGTCAACAAATTCTACATTTGACAAATTGTTACCTATCTAATGTATAGCTGCTCATTGATGACGAGTTCATCTTTATCTAGATAGGGAGCTAAAGCATTAAGGTTGAAGTAATCCTCAACTTGTTTTGTTATTGATTGCTCAGCTCATTCATTTTCAAATATCTTATAACTATCTTCGTTATCATCTATTTCAAAGATCTCATTCAAATCAAACTGACAAGTTTGAGATTGTGTAAAAGAAAATCTTTCAATTTTCTCTTATAACTCATGACTACTTTCCAAAACAAAGTGTGATGTTTGAACTTGTGTAGAGATAGTATCGAATGATTATGTCCCAAAAGTACTTTTGATTCTAATATCGACAAAGGTTGTGTTTCATTCAAAGTATCTATCTCATCTAGAACGCTAAATGTTTCATTCGGAAGAAAATCATCCTTATTGAAAGTTATAAATTTGAGGTTGTAAAGAAGAAGATCGTTCAATTTGCTCTTATAACTCATGTTTGAACTTGTGTAGAGATATTTCCTTCAACTTGATCAGTATCGAATGATTAATTTCTAAAAGTACTTTTAATTCTAATATCCTTTATTGAAATTATCCATCTTATCTAGAATATCAAATGTTTCATTCAGAAGAGAATCATCCCTGTCAAAAGTAGTCTTATTGTCATATATAATAAATAACATTCAAAATTAATAATACCAAATTATTATGATCGAAATAAAGATATATTTATTTAATACTATACATTTTTGTTGTTGCAACGAATGAGTGGACAATGCACTGAACAATTAGTTGATACTGTCGACACTTCATAAATACATTCAAAGTTTTAACAACACTACGAAGGCTTCACTGATATAGTGGTCAGTCATGTAGCCTCACAACTATTCCACATTTCGCCTTGCAGCCTTACACATGATGTATGAAGACTTCAACCGTAGCCAAGCCATGATCGCAAACAAGCCTTCCTCATCCAACATTATAGAAGATGTACCAACTTTTCACTCGCCAAACCTTTCACCTACAAAAGATGCACCACTAAAAAGCTAAATGGACCGATGAACAAGGCTACGCATCGCTGATCACCAAGGCTTCACAAGACTTTATCGATGAACAAGGCTAATCACCATTGCAAGGAGGACATTGGTGATGGCGATAAGCGGGGACATTAGCGATGACAAGGCTAGGGTATCGTATTGCACTGTTGGGGTTCATTATTAATAACTGATGCTCCAAAGGTCATGAGTGGGGTCTTCCCTATTCCATTCCTCACTCAATTGATTAGGTAATGCAGGATAATTTAAAAAAGAAAAATCAAGGGACAATCTGGAGCTCAAATGAGTCAAATTGAGTATCTAATCTAGCTCAAAAATCAATATATCTAGCTCAAAAATGAAGTATCAAATGAGTCAATTAGGGTTTAGTTGAACCGATTTGGTTTGATTCATCTTAAAAAAATCAATCTAGCTCAAAAATACTGAGTCAAAGAATAATCATCATCTTTTCTTGATTTAAATAAGGGTATTTTGGTTAAGTTTAAAAAAGGGGTGCCTTTGATAAAAATCAATTATGAGGGAACCAATTGATAAAAGCCTAAAACTAGAGGTTATTTTCAATAAATTATTTATTTTAATTTTTCTTTCTACGAATGTCACGTTAGCTTTATTATTAAGACATTCATATGTTCTTTATCTCCTAGTACTTCACTTTTCTCAATCAAAACAGAATATAATTATGGCAAGGAAGAGAGAAACTGAAAAATCAAGGGAGAAATTAAGAGATCAATAATCAGATATAAAATTCGACATGGTTTAAAAATCTTGCCTATGTCCACGAAGAAAATCAAATTATTTATCATGTAAAATTAATTATGAGACTCTTTGGTTATATCTACTCAAACATAATCTTTTTATATATATTCTTACATAAATCTTGAAGAATTTATACCTTTCTTCCACCTCTCTAGAAACCCTATAGAGCATCCTCTCTAGACACATTAGAGAGGGACCTAGTAACATCGAGAGTATTCCTCAAGACTTATTCTTCCTTATCAAAACCTAAAAATTTATGAGATATTTATAAAATAACTAAATCCTAATTGTCAGGTTTCTTTCTCTGCAATGACTCCTTATACTAAGATTCCTTGTCATCTTACAACATTGGTTCTAGAAATCTCAAAATAATTATCAATCCTAATATATAATAATTTTTCATCCATATCCTAGCTTCCCCCGCTGTTGCACCAGATGAACTCTTGTCCCATGTTTGTGTTTGCTCATCTGTAGTAGCCTAAATCGTCACCACCCCTTTCGAGATTCTCGTTATCTAATTCTAAGCAACACACCTATAAGAGAAGAATGTATCCTTATTTTGATGAAGGAACAAGATATAAGAGAATATTCTAAATATTCATAAGTTCAAAAGATTAAAAAAAAATCTTTGAAATTTAGGTAAGAGAGTATACATACAAATTTATGATTGAATTGGGTTTAAATCGATTGATCTCAAATGATAAAAATATATTTTTTTATGAATATAAATGAAAAATATCAAACCATATAATTTTGAATTGACTTTCTATTTTGTTTCAATATATGAGATTTTGATTGATTGAGTTTAAAAGTCTTCGCTCCTCAACTAGGTCTTTAGCATAAGGGTTTCCATATGATCATAGTAAAATTATATAAATAATCATCTAAAAGTAATAAATGCATCAATACCATCTAAATCTATATTTCTTTCTTTCTATTTGGTTTTTTAATAAAAAAACCAGATTTCTTGTAGAATAACATCTAAACCCAGAATTCTTAGCAGAAATTAGCATGACATTTGCGTGTCTTTGATGGGTAAAGAGGCAACATAGAGCTTTGATTATTGATGTCATTAATATTTTGATTTTGAACTTCAAAACCAAGGTTATGAAATGGTTTTACCTACCTACCTAGGGATGCTAATTTTGAATCTCATATTTTTTATAAATAGCGGATAAGATTTTTCCAACTATATGATATGTTAATGCATTTAAGCTTCTTCAATAAAGTTTCTTTAATAATTCTTCTTATCTTCTATTTTTTTTAACAGATTCCACTAATTTTATAATGTGAACCTTCTTCTTCCGATGAATAATAGGTTTCTTAAAAAACAAAATCTTGATCTCGAGTATTGAAAATAGAAGAGTGTTCGATATCAAGTCATATATATTAGCAACAAGGTTGAAGTGCTTGAGAGCCAACATTACTGTGTCTCCAAGATATCTTCGGTCAACCAGGAAAGAGAGGGTATTTAAGGGTAGGAAGACCATAAGGTTTTAGCAAACCAAGTAGGATTATGGTCGTGCAAAAGTTGACTTGCCGGGCTTTCTTAGTGGTTTAGCTATAGGCTATATAAGTGGACTACACCCTAAGACTTGGTCGTCCCATTCTGCCTTCCATCTGATAGATTACTCCAACATAATGTTGATGCAATGGTCTACACAATTAATGACATGCCACCGGTACTCTACCCCTTGTTAATGGTCCTCCACCTTCCTTCCTGCCTAACTATAGAAAGTAATGGGACCAAAGCTGTTGCTTTTCATCCTTTTCCCATAAATCTGTACTTTATAATTTTATTGAACTCGAGTCGTGCTGCATTCTTAGAAGAAGGTACGGTACATACGTATGGGTGTATAACTAGTATACAATGTGTTCTCTCTGACTGAATTGAGTAGAGGTAATCAGATTCTCATTCCGGTCTGTCATTTTACTGTCGTTCACTATTTGGAACAAGTTGTAGATTTATTTATATGGTGTGGCATGCATGCTAATAAGCACCAGGAAAAAATGGTGACAGGAGCAGCCAACACGCTTTGTTGCCAAGGTGATAGATAGCTAGGATGATGTGTACCTGATAATATGTGTACCTTCGCTTCGATCTGTGTCAGTGAAAATGTGCAACCTACAAATAGGAAAGGAAGATAAGGGCTGGTAACGTATCTGCTTGTATCTTTTCTCCAACAGTCAAATCAGGATATGACATCCGAGAAGAGGACCATTTCTCATGAGTGTGTGTATATATATATATATATATATATATATATCCTAATGGGGTTGAACTTTTTGACTTGTGAGAGAGGAATCGCATCGTCAGATATCAACCAGATGGAATTAAACGGAGGAGGAAGGCCAGTGGTAGTACTTGCAGGAATCGCGCCCGCCTGTCTGTCTTCTTCATGTATACATTAAAGATTTTACGAAAGCAGGGACAGCACACGAGAACAGCATGTCACAGCAACATTTTTATCCATCATCATTCGGGGGCAACTCCCTGCTTTGGCTCCCCAAGTTACGCTGGGCGGTCCGCCATGCGGGTAATGGTGATGAAGACCTAATAATGCCTACCTTTACTTAGCATAGTTAACTAAGATGCCTGAAAAGCCGGCTGAGACATGCAAGTGCTGTCCGTATATTAATATTGTTGTAATGGCCACGGAGCCAGCAGCATGCATCAACTCGTGGCCTCCAGGAAGAACAACTGCAGTTAAATAGAACGGAGAAAAGAAGGAACATCCACTAAACATATTTACGTGGAACACTTGGGACTTACCAGAATAATTAAATAAAATAAAGATGAAGTTGCTCGAACCAAATCTATCACAGAACCAGTTTTTGAGTGGAGCGGAGGAAAGTTGAGGATTAATAGCTGTAAAAAAAATAAATAGCTAATAGGATTCTCCCTTCCACCATCCCACAACTGCGTCATCCATCATCCGCTGACGACAACTATCCTTCCCTTACTGATTAACTTAAGCTCTAATCCATGTGTACTCAGTTAAGATCGCTGCGGAGGAGTCTTGAGACAGGGCCGGAGTGGGATCGGCGCCCACGGAGCTGGGAACGGCCGATGATGGATGAACTGATGGTGCTGCGACATCGGATGTGGCGTGTTGGTCTCGGGCGTGGGGGTGGAGGCGGCGGTGGTGGTGGTGGTGGCGGCGTTGGAAACGCGCTCGCAGGAAGGGCACATGCTGAGGGTGGTGGGCGGAGTCATGTGCATGTAGAGCCGAGGCGACACCTTCAGAGCTCTCAGCTCTTGCACTTCCTTCTGCAGCCTCCTGTTCTCTTCTGTGAGGGTCTCGCAGCACCTTTTGAGGAATTCGCAGTCCACCTCTGTCTGCTTCAACTTTGTCCTGAAATTAACATCCACATTAAGCATCGCGTGAGCCAATCAGTGGCAAGAACCAGAATAAAACACGCAGAAGAACTTTGTCCGGTCGACTACCTTGCTCTGCGGTTTTGGAACCACACTTCCACTTGTCTTGGCCTCAGGTTGAGCCGCTTGGCCAACGCCAGCTTTTGCTTCTGTCGCACAAGATAAGCATGGAGAGTTTATAGGAACAATTTTCACACCTATACGAACACCCTGATGTCGTACGACTCGAAGAGGATGGGGGGAAGGAAGAGGATAGAAGCGGCTTACGGGGTTCAGGGTGTTGTGTTCTTTGAAGCTCTCTTCGAGAATGGCGGCCTGGTCCTTGGAGAGACGGAGCTTCTTGCGGGAGCCCTCGCCGTCCTCCTCGTCGCTGATCCCGCGCGAGCAGTCCCGGTCGGTGTCGTGCTCGTCGACGCCCAGGTGGTGGCCCCGCTCCGCCCGCTTGCCGCTCGCGCTGGAGAGCGTGCTGTTGGGTGACGACGCCCCAGCGTCCTCCTCGCTGTCCCTCTCTGCGGCACCCGGCGGCTCCTGATTCACGTCGATTCCTCGGTGAAGGGGCCGCGGCCGTGGGTCCGCTGCTGCCCCACACACGTCCAACACCCGTCTGATCTCTGCCACCACGAAGCGTACCCAACATATTGGATAAGAAACTCATACTAGTGCAATCATTTTCCTAAGCTAAATAGAAAAACAAACAGGGAGAACAAAAAAGAATAGCTATATTTACCTGAGTGGACAAGGAGATCACGCCACTGGGTCTTCTGATGGCAAGGAAGAGGTGGTGTGGGGGAGGAAGCAGAAGACGAGGAAGGAATCATGAGGTTGAGCTGCAGAGGCAAGTGATTATTGGGGGGGGACGAGGAGGAGGAGCTCAGGCTGAGGCTCAGCCCTAAATCATCAACCTTTCCCATCATCATATTTGACCACTTCTCTTTCTTCTTTCTTGCTTGCTATGGCTTTGATAGGCCGGTCACTTTTTCTCTCCTTTCCTTGGGGTCGAAAGAAGGTAGTAACTAAAGCAGAGCAGTTGGAAGAAAGATGGACAGGAGAAGAATGGAAGTAATGGAGGTCGGAAATGCTATCAACAGCTCACTGGTAGGAGGGTATTATATAGTTGGTGTCTTCCTGTTGGTTTCGATCAGTACCTGTGTTTGTGAGAGGCACTTTTTATCTCCCTCCTCCTCCTCCTCCTCTTCCTCCTCGTTGGCTTTCTTTGACGCTAACCTTGGTTAAGCTCACCTCGATCATGGTTTGCTTGCTCCTCTCCGCGAGAAACCCGTGGCTCGGTCCGGCCAACCTTGGACCGGTGGCATCTGGTACTTTGACCATTGACTTATCGGTTATTTTCAGCATCTTTCTTTCTTCCTTTCTCATCTTTACAGCAGTAACATTTTGGCCCTGCCTGTGTGCAGAGAAATGTGGGCTCTACGGCATACCATGTTTTAAGCCTCTACGGTAGGGTCAGAGAATCGAATTCTACGAACACGACAATCCCTGCAAATGATATCATGATAGAGTCAAAAACATGTTCGAAATGCGTACGAGGTTGAGCGACTTATGTTAATCCTATGGATGTCATAAGTTTCACGTAGGATGGAAACCTTCTTAGAAGAATAAAATTGGCTATGTATGTATAAATCATCAAATATGTATAGCAGACAGTGGATACTAAGATAGACAAGGGGAGTCCACATCTGCCATACGATTGGTGATTTTTGTCAAGGACGGAGGAGGGCCAGGGAAGGGCATCATGATGAGCATCCACAGTACCAGTATATGTCTATCAGTGCCTTGGAGCCGTGCAATTATTACAGCTGCTGGTGTTGATACGAGATGCGATCCTCAGGAACACCGAGCCCCCACCACTCAGTGGCCATTTGAGCACGATTCTCCTCTCCCCTCATCATTATGTCCCTTCACTTCACGGCAACGCCCCAATCACGACTGGTACGCTCCCACATCATCACATCATCATTAGCTTCCATCACACAGTAAATTATTTAGATCAAGCGATCTCATATTGATCGTTCTTACGATTAATACGAGTCAGCTAAGTGAAAAAGAAAAGAAAAGAAAAAAAAAAACAATTTACTCCAGCTAGTTTGATGATTGTGTCTGTTTCTGAGTCGAGGGTTTGAATATCCTTGTTATTCCACAATGTGACAGCGAGGAGACGATCGTATGATCCATACCATGGACGGACGGACGGACGGACATGACAGCGTAAACTGCGGCACGTTGAGTCGCGTCGGCGGTCCATTTGAGCCGAGGCGTGCCAGGTGGGACGACGCGGGTGGGGTTTGATTTCACGTGGGAGGAAAGGGGAGGGAAGCTCCCCATCACGCGGGCGAGCATGTCCTTGCCTGGGCACGTGCGAACATGCCGAAGACACCGCCGGCCTGTTCGCGGCCACGCGTGCCATCGGGTCTCCCCATGCCCCGACACGCACACCGCGCAATCATTTGCAGCCACAGCCCCTCCGATTCTAAGCCCCTCTCTCTCTGATCCTTTTCCCGCATTAATAATCTATCACGCCCTCTCTCTCTCTCTCTCTCTCTCTCTCTCTCTCTCTCGCTCTTCTCCCATAGCACGCACGTATCCAGTGCCCTGCAAATTTCTTTTTCATTAGAGAAAGAAAAAAAAAAAGGTTAAGAAGATCAAATATGAAGTTGAACGTAGAATCTGCATATTCTATTTAAGTTGCGTGCCAAGAATCACGAAGCATGCGGTGGTGATGACAATTTTGCCTCCACGAGAAGTAAGCATCTGAGTGGGGTACAAATGACGGTACGAGTAGCCATCAGCGCCTAGTGGTGGGTGGGCGCGCAGAGGAGGAATAGTGGGACCCAGTCCATTTTGGTCTTTTCTTTCTTCGACTTCCTCCCCGAAACTTGTGGATTTAAACCCGGCATGATGTCGGGCATCGATGATCGAGTGTCCCGTCCACGGCTGCCTGCTAGCTGTCCCACGTGTCTCTCCCATCCCAACCACCACTACTAAGCCCCCCCCCGTATCACATCACATTTGGCCAGGAAATAAAAGTGAAAGCAAGCGAGAGGGCTGCCTCCCAATCACGTGAATCACACGTGCCTCGGCAGCCCCTACCTACGAATCCCGTCGCTTATGTCCACGGCGCGTTGCTGATTTCTAGACTCCCACGAGTGCGATTAAGGGCTGGCCCGTGCAGGCATGTGGCGCGGACGTGGCTTGCCGAGGGAACCGGCGGGCGGACAGCGAGGTGCACGTACGGCCAAATCCCTCACGTGCACGTTCGGTCAAACCACCGTCCCCCCATCGAAAGGAGTACCGTATCCTTGTTCTTCCCATCGTAGGAGTTGCTTCGCGTCGAAGGACTCTTGACAGCCGTCCGATGATCCATCGAACATATCGTAGTCATCGGAAGCACCTGGGGATGCGAACCGCACTTGCGGAGGGGCATCAGCTGTCCCCATGTGCACGCCGCTTTCACATCCAACAGGAATCCAAAGCAGACAAGCAAAACTCTTAGTGTACCAAGTAAACAATGTTATGAAGCATGATCGGGATATAATAGTATATATCGTTGAAACAGATAGTTGAGAATGATTTGAAGCCCACGACCGGTGCCGTTGAAAAGATAGATCGGCAATTTAATTTAAACTAATTTCAGATTTACATGGTTCGGTAAATTAACTTTGACCTACATCTACAGATGAAAGAGGGCCAAATCATTACTATAAAAGAGACAATTACAAATACCTTAGTAAGAGGAGCAAATCATTACTGACAATTACAAATACCTTAGGAAGATGTTCCTAGGTCATAAAACACCTAAAAATACTAAACAAGAAAAACTCAAACTATTTAACTGAACGTGGATTTAAACCCAAAATAAACACTTAGGTTTTTCTTGTGGTGCCACTTGTGGTGATTCTGACTTTAAAGCTCAGACCCTTATTTATAGTTTCAATAGAAGATAACAAACCTGATTTTCCCGATGTGAGACTATGGGACTTGTCAAACTAACATATCTCACCATTAAATCAACTCTAATTTGAAACCGATATATTTCCTTTCCCTTTTTTTCTCTTTACTCTCGCTCAAAATATGACTTATAATTATAATGCAATCCACAAAATGCTATTATTCGGTCATTGTTCAAAGCTACGCCAATCTGTCGTCCCTTACCGAGCATTATCATATAAGCAACGGTGCTATCATTTTCAATCATCTTCCTAGTAATTAACTTGCTGCTATAGATGATGAATTTATGATTCCGTACGACTGACGTGATGAATTGGATTGGTAACCAGCGATTGAATTCTCTTGTACATTTTTTCTTTTTGTTTGACAAAGATAAATGTAAAGATTAGATTCAATCCTAGGACCATAATCTAACAAGATCTTTAGCAACTAGCTATCACCTTCACAAAGATAAATGTCAGACGAGACTGACTGACTTCAAACTCATAAATATTTAGACTCGATGTTGCTAAAAAATATTAGATAAACAATCACTTGTGTATTCGTCGTTGAGGAAAGCTAAAAAATCATCCATGAATCACTTAGTAGAAGAAGCCTTGCACCCTTTAGAGCTTAGATATTATTATATTATCTTATTCTTTTCACTTAAAAACATACAGTTGTTATCCTACTTCAACTTGAGGCCAAATATGTCTTTTGCATTGCCATGAAAAAAACATCCACCTTTTTAGTAACGACGATGAAATAATTCTACCATCAAACCTTACTTGTCTACTTTCTAGTCGATTTGCCATCGAACCTAAAACTATCATATATGATTCTTTGTGAAGCAATATATAATTGCAAACACCTACGGTGGACATAATTGCCTAATATCTTATTGGATTGGCTTCTTAATATCGTTGACTCTTTAATGATTTAAGCTTCCAGCACCGATTGATAAGTCACTACACAATCCTCGTATAAAGAATAGCAACAAGTCGAATAGCCTTTACCCATATCATCATACCCTGAATACTATCTATCATTGCACCAAGCCGCTAGGATGCTTCTTGACCTTCCGCCTGCTACATAAACTGTTCCAAAGGCAACTTCTAATGCAGCAAACAACCCTTGTATGCATACTACTAGAAAGCAGTCGAAGTCCCATTTTCTACACGACCAAGCAGATAGATGTATTGAAAAGTGTTAATCATCGTAACCTGAATACTATCATTGCGCAAATTCACCAAAGACGCCTCTCGACCTTAAGGCTGCTATATAAATTGTTCCGTTACAGCCCTTTCCAAGTCTCTTCAAAAATTTTATGGGTTTTAAGCAGTGTTTTGGACTGTGTGGGCGGTCCTGCAGTCCCATGAGAGGATGATCATCAAGAAACAAAATAGCTGTCAAGCAATCCTTTAGGCATACTGTCAGATTGACTTCCATCCATATCAATAAGATCAACAAGATTCATCATCTTTTTCTTAGTATTGTGTTTAATAGCAGTAAGAGTTAATAATACTTCATACTCTTTCCACCACATTTTCTCTATCATCCTGGCATCAATAGAGGGAGGAAAGGTAACCTACCCTCCCCTACTTCAGTATCATTGGCAGCCAAATGGGATGTCACGACAACTTATTATCTACCAGAGTCATTATCTACCCTGCCAATCACCGAAAAGTTGGTTAAAAAAGGGTTTGGTCTGATATCAGCCATTTCTCCCTCAGGTGGTTGCAGAATGGGTGGGACAAGGAAGCAGACTAAACGACGACGGGGTTAAAGAGAGGGAGACCTTTTTTTTAATCAACAGGTAATAGTAATAGGGAACCGTAGTAAATGTAACGCAATTTTAGAAGCTATTTGAGGAGGATAGTTTCAAATGGAGGCCACCGTAGTAAATGTAACGCAATTTATTATCTCCATCGGCTGTTACTTTCAAATGTTTGTCATACCTACTGGAGAATGTTTAATCTAGCATAGTTTTTAAAAACCGATCAAACTGATCCATATCGACTGGTATTTATCAATCAATCTAATCAACAGTTGCAGATCTACCGATTTTCAGTTGATTTGGTTAGAAATTATTTCTTTCAGATTTCTGACAACAACAGTGTCTAACCCTATACTTTTGTCTCTCTATATAGAGCCTAACCCAAAGGATTTTGAACCGACATAAACAAAGATGCACATCATATTAACCAGTCAAATTTTCATTTGTAAACTATTACAACACCCAAAGCAAGTGAGAAAACATAGTTTGGTAAGCAGGTTCTGACCTCATGACACCCTCTGACAATCTCCAGGATGATCAACATAATTATTCACCAGTGTTCAAGACCAGACCGCATCACATCTATGGTATAATAAGCACAATAGAACCAGAAGTCTTTCTTGCCTCCAGGTCGGCATGTGCCCGAGCTGCATCGGATAGTGGATAGATATGGTTCACACGCCCTCGCAGGATCCCTGCAGCAACATTAGCAAAGACCTCTCCTGCAGCAGCAAGCAGTTCATCACGAGTTGCAGTGTAGTGCATTAGACTAGGCCTAGTTAGGAACAGGGATTTGGAAGCAAGGTCGCTCAGTGGAACCGCATCTGGCCTTCCAGATGACTGCCCGAAGCTGACCATGAAACCTTGGGACCTCAAGCATGACAAAGATCCCTGCATCAGTGAGTGAGATTCTAGTTTAGCTTAATCTTCATAGTACGATAAATCCTAGTTCGCAGGTAGCACACAAAAATGAAGAGCATATTCATTAAAATATGATCAAATGAAATAAACATTTTCAGGCAAACATTTAATCTCTGATTAATTGCATAGAATAAGTCACTAACGTTCGTACTTCAGAAGGGAACACCAACCAGTATTGCATCAGAAACACATGGTGCAACAGAGGAAACAAACAAATAAACTAAAGTAAGCAGATCTAAAAACAATCATATAATTTATAGCGGAACTGTTATACCACCTGAAATGTATCTTTTCCAACAGAATCATAGACAACATTGACTCCATTGCCTGATGTTACTTCATTTACTCTGGCTACAAAGTCCTCCTTCGTGTATACTATGACATGGTGGCATCCATCTTCTGCTGCCTGGGCTGCTTTCTCTTCGGTTGAAACAGTTCCAATGACCGTGGCACCAAGTGCATTTGCCCACTGACAAAGTAATGAGCCTACCCCACCTGCAGCAGCATGAATGAGAACAGTGTGGCCAGCTTCAACCTGCTTTGCAAACAAGATTAGTTTTAATAATGACAGTTCAGGATAGTGTATATACAAGATCTCAGAGTTCCATTATGTTCAGATTTGCATGAATTGCTTCCACAACACCAAGTAAACAAACCTAGTTACTGGTGATCTCAAGATCCAAGAAGCTTTTGAGTTGTAGCTTGTTAATGCAAAATAATCACATGAGCTCAGGCTGATATATGTAAATGTACAAGAAGATTAGCTGCATGAACTTACTAGCCAAACTAAAATCAGTCCACAAGCAGAGACATAACACTTCAACCAATTCTAGAACTCTTAAAGAGTATATACAAGTTTCACATATTAGATAAACAATCTTGATAATTTATCGAGTAAGGATAATGTATACTCATGATGCCAGACTCACATTATGTTCTAAATGCATGAATTGGTATTCACAGAAACAGGCAAACAATTTTAGATCACTGGCCATCTCAAGACCTGAGAAGCTTATGAGTCATAATTGTTAAATCAAAATCAGAACATGAGCTCAAGCTGATAAGTTGCATGTGCATACATAGATGTATGTGTATGTATATAAATGTATATTAAAAGATAGTTGCACAAATTTAAGAAAGAAACTAAATCTCTCCACCTGATGGTGCCCATATTCCACATAATATTGTGAACTTGGTTGAAGGAGACTCAATATCTAAACCTTCCTAGAACTTTTCAAGGTTCTCTACAAGTTTGAAGAACAGGAAAATGGCAACATGTTATAAATCCTAATAAACTGGTAATTGTGGCAGATACTCCAAAGAGCCCCATTTGTTCAAGGCAATCCAGTAAATTGCTTGAAGGTGGATTATTTTATATCTACACTAAATGGAGAAATAATAGATGCCATTTTAACTTGTAAAATGTTCAGAGGCTTCTGAAAGGTTTAGAAACTCAAAGTCAAAAGAAAAGAAGGATCGACCTTGTAGCATCGGCGGAGTAAAACATATGCAGTCATTCCCTTAAGCATAATGGATGCTGCTATCTTATGATCAATGGAGGGTGGAACGGGAACCACAACACTTGCAGGAAGAACTTGTTCTTCGGAATAGGAACCCATTGGATTACCAGCATAAGCAACAACATCCCCTACTTGTCTATCAGTCAGACCAGGGCCCACAGCAGTCACTACTCCAACAGCTTCCATTCCTAAGACATGTGTAACAAATATTAGATGTACAAGAATCAAAATGATTGTAAACATAGCAATTATCTTCATTTTAGAAACTTCTCTAACGGATGCTTATTTTACTCCTCATAACTTACATGAAAAAAAGAAAAGCCAGCAGTGTTTTTTAAAGCAAGATATGAAGAAAAAACAACGTGCCAAGAATAAAGTTTGATTTCCTTGTCACATCAATTCCTAATTCACAATCAAGCTCCTTAACATAATATTAGTCATGTGGATGGTGCTAGAGGTACAAATATGTGGTAGGTTCTTGGAACTGATAGTGGTGGAAAAGGTTGGTGTTGTCATACACACATTTTTCTTCCCTCCTCTTTCTCTTGTGATCCAAATAAGTTTTAGTTTCATCATCATCAACAGAATTAGATCCCCTGTGTGGAGCCCTCAGATTTCTCATCAATTTGCTGTTAAAAAAAGGATAATGGTTCGTCCCATATTCTGCTAGGATGTTAATTTCTCACAGTAGGATTTTCTTGGTCTTCCTTCCGAAGTCTTAGTTTATTCAATAGCAGGAAATGTTACATAACATCTATGCAATAGGCAGACTCTCATGAAGGTCTATGTCATTTTGAGGGGAATACTCCAAGTAATGGGTCAATCATAGTTCTCCTACTGGTAAAGATGCAGGGATGAGGATTCTATAGATTGACCCTCCCCAAAAGTCTACATCCGTGGGAGTGTCATGCATTAAGCTGTACTTTTTTACAAAAATGTACATGTCAGATTGAGTTCAATTAAGAGCCCATTTAGATGTATCTTGGAAGCAGAATTGGTCC